TCCTGAACAAATGCGAAAGATACATGAATATTTTCTGTCAGACTTTGATGATGCAGACATTCAGATTTCGATTTTAACTAATATTATGGAGATATATTCTGTAGAAAGTAGTGAAAAGGTATAATTTTTCTTTATGATTATATTGAAATTATAATGTTTACATATATATATATTTTTTTTTTATATGTATTCATATTCATAATATGTGTGTATATGTATGTATATATAAATATGCAGGGTGTCCCAAAACCCGGATTTCCTTTTAAGTGCGGATTCTTTAGAATATTCTAAGACGAAAATCCTAATTATACGAAAATGTCGAGACTATTATAATTTTTAAATTAATAACAATTAAAGTTGGCTAATCACAGGCTAATGACATTTGGCGCGCTCAGGCACGATGATATGAGAAGTGATATGAGGACCCTCTTAATAACGCTGAGATTATCATACAAATATGTAATAATATTTTTACTAAAAAATTATTTTTTCTTTTATACGAAATCTATTTTAACATTAAATAATCAATTAATATCAGAACATATAAAAAAATATCAATACAATTACGAGATGTTACGATCGATATGTGTCAACTGTCAAAATGAATTCGTAATTATGTTTATTTATCTCGTATGGTAAATATTTTGATAATAGATAAACCATTTTTAATGAAAAGATTTGAATATGTTAATACAGTTTAAGACTGAAACATTACATTTCTATTACAAAAATATTCATCATATGAGGTAAATGAACATAGTTATGAATTCATTTTGACCATACCGTAATATCGCGTAATTGTATTGATATTTTTTCATGTTGCGATATTAATTAATTATTTAATGTACAAATAGGTGTAAAAGAAAAAATAATTTCTTAGTAAAAATATTATTACATATTTGTGATGATAATCTCGGTTATTAAGAGTGTCCTCGTAGAACCTCTATCACTTGTCATATCATCGTGCCTGAACGCGCGAAATGTCAGCTCTGTAATTAGCCAACTTTAATTACTATTAATTAAAAAAATATTGTAGTCTCGACATTTTCGTATTAGGATTTTCGTCTTAGAATATTTCAAAGGATCCGCACTTAAAAGAAAATCCGCGGGATTTGGGACACCTTGTATATGTATTTACTTTTTTGGATATTATTATCAATCTTTTTGTTTTGTTTGTTGTTTTCGTATTTTAAGTATTTTTTATTTTGAAGTAAAATTTATATATACAAATTAAACATATTTTTTGACATAGGTTTTAATGGAGCTAAAGAAATGTAATACTTGGGAAGAGAGATATAATATTTTCGCCAAACAATTCTTAACCATGAATACATCACTCTCACATAAAAATTTAAAAACTTTGTGTACAACAGTATATAAATGTTTATCTGCTCTTCTGCAGTATGATCCTTATGCGTTACCGCCTATCAAATCTCCTATAATATTGTTAAAACCTACAAATCCGTTTCCTGTACCCATGATTGAGGACGATTATGGTTTGCAGAAGGTATTTAAAAAACATATACGCTTATCAGTATGTGACAAATTAAACTTAATACAACTTTTTATTAATGATGTATATATATTTATTTAAGATAACTCAAAATGTGGTCAAAGTACATTACATCGAGGGTAATCATATTACTATCATGCAGAACGAGAAAGTGTCGGCAGCAATTAATGGAGAACCACCATTTATATTTTAATATTTTACTGTAAACTAAAAAATTATAAATGTAAATTTAATGGTGTTTTTAACGTAGGTGGGGTAAAAAGCGAGGTACTTAATATTTAAACTAATAAAACACGATAAAAAGAAGGACACAAATAATCTTTTTTTTATAAACCCTTACTTAATTAGCAGAAATGTTTTTCAAATGTTTTTAATATTTATTTTTCATTTATTATGCATTGTACAATTATTGTAAAAATAATCTACAGAGACTGTCAAAAGTTCGGGGCCACCTAAATAATTACTGGACGGTTCGAAATATTGGATTGAAATTGATAAAGTTACGATGTAACATATCATTTAACCTTGAAAACACCCACTTCAACTCTCCGGGAAAAGATTAAAATTTTTAAATGACTTGTGGGGTCAAATGAGGGCTTGTTTGAAAGGACTTTTCGAGACAAGAAGAACACGAGGTCGTTTTTAGAGACCTCAACGATTTTTTTTAGTAGAGTGATGCCCATTTGATTTTTGTGTTACTTAACGCTAGCGAGAACCCACGGCGAAGATGCGAGGAAGATAAAACTTCGCGCATGTTCCTGAGTGAATGGAAAAACGTATATGTGTATGAGGAACGTGGGCAAAGCCTTACCTTCCTCACATCATCGCCGTGAGCCCTCGCTAGCGCTAAATAACACCAAAATCAAATGAGAATTACTTTGTAACCCTGTAAATTTCAATTCAATATCTCGAATCGTTC